TTTTTTTTTATTCTTCCAGAAGCACATTGTGAGGGAAGACACTGATGTTGGATGTAAGAGCTTGGGTAGCAGTGTCCACTCTTATTTATCCAAAATGTGTTTGCCATGTTGAGGTCAGGGCTCTTCTCCTCTAAACTCACTCATCCATGTCTTTAAGAACCTTACTTTGTGCACTGATATGCACTAAACTCTTGGAGACTACATGAAGCTCAGAGGTGTGTAGTGATTGACCTCTTCCCACTTCACAACTCATCTCCTGACTCTGGTCTCTGTTTTTTCATAGCCTACAATTTTGTGGATTTGTTGCTTTCATTCACAATCACTTTCGATTGATTGTAGCACTTTAAATAGTTGACTGTGGAATCTCTAATATGAAGGAAATAGTTGTACAGGTGGCATCTTATGGTCCAACGGTGAAGTTCAATGAGATCCAGAGAGCGACACATTATTTCACAAATGTCGTAGAAGCAGCCTTGCAAGTCTAAGTGCTGAATTTTATACACCTGTGATGAGACACAGGTGTATAAAATTGAACACTTGAATTCAATGATTTGGAGGGGCGAGCGTATATTTTTGGGAATGCAGTACTTATGTGAAGATACGAAGCTGCGAAATACGAATATGAAACAGGTGAATTTAGGAGTACTGCAAAATTTTGGACAAACTGTTGTTTGTGTCAACATCTATAATTAAATTCCTGTTTATTATTAATCCTAGCCGGAAAGAACCGGCGCAGGCTGGTTTTTAAAAGCTGCTGATTCCAATTAATTTTTTATTTGCTCTAGTTTACTCAGAATAATGATTTATGTAAATGCTGTTGTGTTAGACCGTGAGCTTTAACCAAATTTACATCATGAATCAACCTTATATACAGCTTCACTTGTATACATGCATGACGCCGACATGATTTTTGAATCATCTGAATGGTATCTCAATATTGTAAAATAGTGGACATTAACATAATTTAAACTTGGCAGATGTGTGGAAGAATGATGTGTAAGACAAAATATATTTTCCGCCCCTAGAAGAAACTTGTAGAAAAATATTTATTTTCCTGTTATTCAAGCAAATTTTGCAATACCCATCTTTGACATTTAGCTGCTATCCCAACATGACTCCATTTTGATTACAGTTCAAAAATGACTGAACAGAGCATCAACTGGATGTCAATAATCCTTCAAACAGTCCATCTTTTTAAGAAACAAGTCCAAGAATAATCAGTTGAATGTAGATTTTTGCACTGCAGGAATACTGTTTTCATAAACTGGCTCTAGATTTGACATGTAAAAATAAATGTAACTTTTTAAACTTCAAGCAAATGCAATGATATATCAGTATAATCACACACCTATGCATGAGTCAGTGCTCTTCGTTGGAGGAGGAGTACCAAGGGCAAACATACCCTCGGTTTGAGCTCTACGGGTTCCACCTCCGCTTGATCCTCCATCTTTTCCTCCAATAACGACACAGATCTCAGCAGGGTTGGCATCTCCGACTTTCCCGTTGCTCTTCTCTGAGATCCCAGGCTCTTTCTTCACAGCAACCGTCGGTGGCGTACTACTCGTGGCTGTGGAGGGATCCGTGGCTGCATTCCCATTTCCACTTTCAGCCTGCTCCTTCCCAGGATTAGGTGCCTCCGGTGCACTCATGACTCCACCTCCTCTGAGTCTGTGCTTCTGTAAGAGGAGTAAAAACAGGAGTCGATATAAAAATACATCCTAATAACGTAATTTGAAGCTATATGGCCTCCAATCTTTGCCCCATTCTTGCATTATACAATGGAGTATGGAAATGAACATTTGTGTCTATTATCTAAGAACAAGCCACCAAAGATTATCGGCAGCTTGCTTTTTTAAAAATGTTTCACATGAGACCCATTTTTACGTTGTTATGGAAAAACAGGACTGTGGTTCGAAATAACAAAGGATCTAATTAGTGCTTGAGAGGAACCTACAATTAACCAATTAGAAACAAGGAACGCGAAGTAGTGCTGTTGATGTCAAGCATTATAACATTGCGCTATGAGAAATTGTGCCTTTTAATATTTTTAATGTGGAAAAAAAAGCATCCAATCAATCAATTCTTAAACTTGTTTATAAATACAGAAAGCATGAAACATTATTTTTTTTGGTTTCCATTCAGAAACATTTCTCTTTATTGAAGCAATCTCTAATGTGGCCTTTAACAACATCTGATGAAAACATTGAATTACCTTGTTTGTTTTTTTTCACACAAGCTAGTTAATTGAAAAATACAAGCTGTTTTAATAAAACTTTTAGAAACTGTTATAAAAAAAACTGATAGTCTGTAGAGTAATTTACTACATATGAATATTTGCAGAATTTCAAAATATAAACTGCTGCCTAGATCTTGTAATATCCTACTATCAGTCTTTACCTCAAAGTAAAGGTTTAAGTCATCTTGTTAACATAATTTGTAAAAGTTGTGAAGAAAGAAGGCATTTGGCTATACCTAATTCTAATCTAAAACAATCTGGGCATCCTCAAGGCTTTAGGATACCCCAGCATGCTAGTTGAGACCGTTTAACTGAGAGTTAAAATTGTGTAGTCATGTACACACAAACCAGACACTGATGGAGATGTTTACTGTGGTGGTGTTCAGTGTTGCTTAGCTGTTATTGGAAGTCATCTTTAATGGCTTAAATCCTACACCCCTGTGGTGCTCAAATCACTGCAATTTGAAAAATATCTAAATTACACAGCTTACCACGTGGCTATAAAAGGCCTTGTTAAAAGAATGAGCTCAAATGCAACCAACCAAAACAGAAGTATGCCAAAATGAATGATGTTATGGAAGGAAGGAAGGAAGGAAGGAAAATCTGTCTTCTAATAATAGCACACCAATACAGCAACAAGTCTCCTTAAAGCCCAAAAGCACCTCTCTCTGAATAAGACACATGACCTAAAATGGGTAATACTAAAACCAAACATTGTTCTTTTTTTTTTTTTTTTTAAATCAAATGGTAGATGTGCACATGCAGTTAAAAAAAGGTGGTGGAAACATTAAAACTTGGTGTTTTTCTAAGGGTTGAGACTGTCAGATTCCTACCTAAACTACCCAACTTTTGGAAATTAAAGAAGCCGAGTTAATACTCCGTACAAAATCTTTTTGTTGCAACTCTTTTAAAGGTATGTCCCTGCCAGATTATATTTTTCTATGCATCTGGCCAAAATAGCTCAAGCCCAGTCAGAATGCAATGACTGCATCTGTCAACATCTATTTAAAAATAGTTGCTTTGTTGTTCTCTAACAAACAGATGAGGCCTTCATAAAATAGCTATGTCTACTAATTAGGTGAGTTCTGACGTCAATTGGCTACATAAGGTTTTATTTGCAGTTGTTCAAGTAAATCAGCCTACTTCATATGTAAATGTCATGCAGTCTATCTCACAGAATCATAATCCATTATATTTTGTGGATGGAACGTGATAAAATAAGAAAATGTTCAATGGATATGAATACTTTCGCAACTACTGTAATTCATCTGTTTCTGGTCTGGACAATTTAAAGAAAAAGGACATAAATTAAAAGTTGTTTTAAAGCAATGCAAAGTCGAAAGCAGATTTAAAATGCATAACACAATGAAAGCATCACTTGAGAACAGTGCAGCTCAATGATTGCCTTTTGCTAATTATCTTCTTCAGAAGGCAAACTGATTAAATGAAATCAAATGAAAATAAAATTTGATTGTTTTTTTTTACTGAAAGTCTTCACCAAAACAGGGTGAGGTGTTTTTGAGTCTGACAAGAAATTTGATATTAAATAACTTTTCAGAATTGAGAAAAAAAAATCATTTGAGTTTTTTATAGTTCAAACAGCTAGCCATTTATCTCTGAAACAGAAAAAGGGCAGCTTGTGGTATCACTACTGTAAATTTTTACAATATTTCACCTTTGTGCTACAGTAACTGAACATTAAAAGTATATTTCCTTTTTTCTGGGCAGGTACAGCAATTTGAGAAAAATATGTAGTTTATTTAGCTGCACTTAAATAAACTATTGTGAGTGTAACGTATTAATGTCAGCTTAAAAAAAAAAAAAACTTGATCATTAAAATGTAAAATCTTCTTTTCTTCACTTGGCCTAGATTTTACAGGTACCCGTCCAAAAATCTCTAAATAAAAATATGACGCTTCATGAAGACAACGTGATCCAAGAAGGCTTTAAAATTGAAAATTCTGGCCCTCATTACTGGTAGACAAAGATCCCGCACTTTATTTTCATTTCTAATTTCACATATTTCACAGTAGTACAAAGGGGTGGCTGAGATGGAAAAAAAAAGAGACAACACCCCTTTAATGTTTAGGTGTTGTTGCAATGTAGAGATGAAGACAGCAGGAACATAGGGAAAAAAGGAGGATTTTTATTACCAGAACTTATTAGGAATAGACTGGAAACAGCATGGTGTGGACTACGGATACACCAATATGAATATTTGGGCTAGAATCTGACATAGATATTGCTGTTATGGATGATAGCGATATCACATATGTCACTACACTTCGGTATTTTAGAAAAAAAAAAAATTACCACCCGCTGACATCACCACTTATTCTCTGCTTCAGTTAAACTCTGTACAATCCTGCGCTGAGTGATTGTCACTGTCATAACAAACAAACACCACACGACCAACCTCCTCCCCAGTCCTAACGTCAGTCCGGTTTTACACATCGGTCTGGATGCTACCCCTGGTAGGTAAATGAACTGTTGGGGGAACGGCTGTTTAAGATCAGAAAACTGAGACTCTGAAGTAAAAGAATAACACTGGAAACCAAAAAAAACAAAATGAAATATAAGAAGCTGCAACCAAAATTATCCTACCACTATCATATTCCAACAGACTACAACAGGTTGACATGAATGTAAATATTCACTGGAATGAAAATGGTCAACATAAGTAATGCAAGTCAAATCCTCAAACGAGATGCATGTACGTGTTTTAATCTAAAGGATGGGTGTATTTTTCTCTGTGCACTCACAGTAAACCACATAGATGAGGCGAAAAACCTGCAGAGCTATCTGGCCCTTCTTTATTCATGCAGAACAGCTAATGATTACCATAGAGGCGATGAGAACAATAAGCTCAGCATAGCTAACAACATTTAGAAAAACCCCCAGAAAAAACCCTCTCTTTAAAATAGAGCTTTTTGGGCAAACTTTTTAAAGTACAGAACATTTCTCTTTATTAACACCTCTGTAGAATACCTACAGGAAAATTCAGTGATCTGAGAGGTTGCTTTGCTCAGACCAAAGCAATAACCAATCATCTATGATTATTTATTTAGAGTCTATTGTTAGTTTATTAAATATTTAGCATGCTGGGCTTGTGTACTGGAGCTACAGAAATTAAGATACAAATGTGAGAAGTTCATGGTGCATATAAACAGATTGAGGAATAACTTTATTCATGCATGAATAAATCACTAAAAAACAAAATGAGGATGTTTTTATGATGACCTTTAGTTTGAAGAAACATGTTTTCAACTGGATTTTTCCCCCCTGCACTTTCCACTAAATTCTGCCGTTTTCTTGTCATTGAGCGTTTTAAAGTTACAACTAACATTAATATTTTCCATATTCTGGTATGCTTCACTGTACAGAAAATAATTGACGATACTTGTGGCATGTTGCGAGTCGGCACTGCTCTGATGGTTGGACGTGCTTTTTCTCCCCCCAAAAACACTATAAGAGGACTTTCAAAACCCCCTAATTCAACAAAATGTCACAAGTTAAAACAAAATGAAGTGCAAGGTTCACAGTGGAAAAAAACGAAGCCATCCCACTCATTATCGTTCAAGTGAATTTTGATTTCAACACAACTGTTTTTCTTATAATTGTGTTACCTAAAAGCTCCTAGATATTCTTTCTGAAACACCAGGTGTCGCTTCACAACAATTAATGCAGCTTCATCCTAAAGTCACGGCCAGAAAAGAAGTCGTAAAAACTACACAAGCATAAACAGTTTCAAATGAACCTGAGGAAATGAAGTTTAAGTTCCTCTAAGATTTGCACCACCTTATGTTGTCCTGTATATACTGATTTACATGTACATACACACTAATCTGGAAATTGCACCTTGAAAGTCATGTTGGTTTAACATTAAACAACAGTGAATGATTCACTGCTTCATCTTTTGTTCTATAATGCTAAGCCTCAATAGGCAGGTATTAGTAAAAATAATAATAATAATAATAAAACAGTTGACAAGATGACTTAAAAATAAAATCTCATACCCAATCCGATTTACGATTTGAATCAACTTCCTTTCTGTTCTAAAAAGAAATTACAAATGTTAGAAAAACCTTAATCATCCCTTCTGGGAGTTGACCTGAATTCAAAGTCTAACTAAACACAAGCTGTAAAACATGCTTGTAAAAACAAGATGGCAGGCACTGGGTGGGCTGAGCTCACTCTAAGTTATGGGAGCCGAAAGACTGCTTTGGTGAAAAACAATCCTGATTTTCCTAAATTTTATCTTTATGAACAGCAAATTTGATTAATTGATTAATTGCCCAGTTCTGTCAACAACCTTATTAGTAATTACCCTTGTTTCTTATTAATACCATACCAACTGTATTTATAAAGCACTTTAAAACAACCACAGCTGATACAAAGTGCTGTACATTAAAACACAACATAACAATAAAAAAATAAATA